ATTGAAACCGACGAGAGACTCTACAGTGATTAGTTATTGTTAGATTGTTGCATAATGAACGTTGCCCTCCGATAATATCCTCCGGCTGTCAGTTTAAAATCGGAAAGCGTTTTATAATTATTATCGTTCGTCTCTTATTTACTTCGTGGACTGACAATTTATTTCTGAAGGATTATTGAATATTCCAACCTTCCCATCTTTCTTCGCTTTTGTTGTATTTTCAGACTACTGTTAATTCACTCGAAATACTTTTAGCTAGGCTATAACATTGAGAGACTGGGGGAGAAAATATCTGTCAGTGTTTTAAGGATTTTTACGTGTCAATTTTTTCGATCCTTCTGTGAGGAAATAGAATGATATATTTAAACATCAACGAGGAGACTTAAAAGAGTGTCAATTGTACAGTTACAGAATAAATATATATCTGCAAAAATAATATTATGTATAATATATATTATTTTTGCATATTTGTTAAAATAATATATAATATGTATTATATTAATAAATATTATATATCATTATTACTAAAATATCATAAATATAATATATTATAATATCACACAACTGTTATACTGTAATATTATATATACTATTATAATATAATATATATAATATATTATATAATATTATAATAATATAATAGTATTGTGTAATTATATAATTGCATATTATATAATATATTATATAATTATATATTTATTATGTAATATATTATATAATATACAATTATATATTATACAATATTATAATAATATAGTAATATTGTGTAATTTTATAAGTGTATATATTATATAATAATATAATAATATTGTGTAATTATAATTATATAACTTTATAATAATATAATAATATTGTGTAATTATAATTATATATAATAATATTCTGAAAATATTTTCCCCCTAATTGCTACGTACTAAAGTCACTCGGCAAGTTAAAATGTTCGACGAAAAGGAAAATTTGTCTCAGCAATCGTGTAATAAATTTATCTCAATGTCTCTCGAAACTCGAACAATTTTTTTTAATCCAAGTGATTCAATCTAATTTAATTATTCAAGTAGCTGTCAAATAATTTAATTTAAACCAGTCCTCCAATGATTTAATTTTGTTATGACTTAAATAATCAAATAATCTTCAAATGATTCAATCTGATTTAATTGAAATCAATTTGTCCTCAAATCGGGACAAACGTTCATCGTACAACAACCTGATTTGAATATTTACAATCCAATTGATTCTCGCCTACCGTGTCACTTGTGGCATGATCCAAGAATAACCTTACCTATTGCTCGCAGTATATTTGCTTCAGCTGTGCATTATAACGGCCGTGTTCGTGGCGCATTAGTAGCGAAAGGGTTAAGGTAATATACAAGAATACGAAGTAGCTAACAACAATAGCCCGTTGGTGTTAGGTTTGCCCTGTCGTTATGTGGACAATGGCCTTTGATTCGTTAGCTGAGTGGCTCTCGGACGACAGCGTTTCGTTTCGGCCATCATTTTATCGGCTTGTAACATGCGAAACGTTCCATTTTCTCCTGCTAATCATTGCTTCGTGCGGTATAATAAATTCTCTTGCGACGGAAACGCTCTTCCTTCAGATTAAAAATATTCAAGAAAATGCACACACGTGCCGAAAGATATTGATATATATTTTATTAATGAATATAACATAAATATATTGTATTAATATGAATATATTGTAATGTATTATATTAATATGAATATATTGTAATATATTATATTAATATGAATATATTATAATATATTGTATTAGTATTGATATATTATTATAATATTATATTCATATGAATATATTATAATATATTATGTTAATATGAATATATTATATTACACTATATTAAATGAAATATTTAATATAATATAATATTAATATATTATATTAAATGAAATAAATATAATGGATATATGACAAATAATAAATAAAATAAATATACTAAGTATAAATGAAATATATATTATATTATTATATATAATACATATTATATTATATTTTATTAATATACACAACATACGCAACATATGAGTGAAATTATTCTAACAAAGTGTAGAATACAACGTAAAATGAAATACACATCAAATGAAATATTTAATATAATATAATATAAATTGTGTATTAATTTAATATAAATATAGTAAATGAAATTAATATAATGACAAATAATAAATAAAGCAAATATACTAAGTATAAATGAAATATATATTATATTATATAATAATAATTATTATTATATATATTATATTATATTAATATACACAATATACGCAGCGTACGAGTGAAATTATTCTAAAGTGTACGATACAACGTAAAATGAAATACACATCATCGAATTAAACGAACAATCCAATTCGTACTATTGGAGATCAATTTAACAACTCGGTCTACATACTTTTATTGTTTCTGCTATATATCTGAAACAAATCTTGAAGACCGAGAGAGGAAATTTCACATGTTACAAGCTCGTCAACAACGTCCAGAGTAAGGGACAGAAATCGGAGGAAAAATCGCCAGGAAATATCGAGTCACGATGCTCGGGCGAACATTTCGAAATCGATGAGGGGGGATTTTGAGAGGGAGGTTTGGTTGGTCGCGTGCTTGCTTGAGTTAGGAGCTGCGTGGATGCTTTTGCTAGCCTCTCGTCCCGCTTCTTTTGACTTTGAATGGCGCTCTGGCAACCGATATCGCTTGCCGGAAGCTCGTCGAACCACTTTTCGTCGATGAAACGCTCGCATTGAAAATCTTAATCGTCGAAACTCACTCACTCACTCACTCACTCACTCTTAACAACTCGGTTATCGTTAACCACGTTGCGCTGGCAGCTGACTGCGGACCATAACGAGTGACCGAATCGTCTGCAACAATTCAATCCGCTCTCTTTTCGAACTCGTCGGTGTGACATCTATCACTGGATAGAAATTGTTTCGAAGTGAATTTGAAATTTATTTATTTTCGTTTCGCCTATTTCGTTTCACTTGGACATGCATAGAGCTGCGAAAAAATCTGACAATTTCGAAACGAAAAGTTGTCGACGCGCGTGTCATTCCAGCGCAACGGGTCGAAGTTATGTTGTCTTAATCTAAATTGTTCGTCTCGCGTGTTCTGATTGCCGATTTCTCGTCTTGCGAAAGCAAGGAAGAAACGTTTATTGCACTTCGGAGCAGAGTGTTCGTTTCCAAGTGTACACGTTTTTTTGGTTTCGTTCAGTGTCTACCGTAAATACAATTTCTCGAACTGTGTTTCGCTTAGAAAAAGAAAAGAATGAAATTCATCGTCGTATCTTAACACTTAACAATAAGTCTCTGAACGCTGAAACTTTCAAATCGTTCTTCCGAGTGTTTGTAATTGTTTCATTTAAGAGAAGTTCTCGTCGCTTTTTGCCACTTCGAGTCGGCGTGTGTTGTCCAAGATTTCGGCAGAAGCTTCCTTGCTTCTGGCCGTTCGTTTGTAATTAAAAACCACTCTTCCAGTCGCTGAAAGCTCTTCTCACTCTTCGTTTCGGTGTTCTTCGGTGGCGAGAAGGTTCCCGATCGTCGTCGAGAAGTATTCCTCTGTCGCGCGAGATATTTGAAATAGTTTCCACCTCGACTCGACGATCCTCGAGTGTCCTTTCTGTTTCGCGAAATCGAACCTTCACGGTAATTATCCTTATTGAAACAAAGTTTGTTAATCATCGAATTTCTATTTTGTTTAAAATCGCTCGCTGGAAATTCTCAGTCCGGATATTCTCTAGTCTAAATTATTGTAATTTTTGCGCAAACTTCATCGATCGTTCTTACCTAACGTCCGTCGTAGTTCGTGATATGACATTTAAAAACTTTTTTTTTTTTTCGTTACACACTTCCATTTTTATTATTATTATTATTATTATTATTATTATTATTATTATTATTATTATTATTATTATTATTTATCTAAGCTACGTTTTCAGGAAGCTTCTTGGAAATAACCAAACCTTCCTCCGTAGTTCGTAATTACATCTAAAAAAAACAATTCTTCGTTACAATTCACTAACAATAAGTATCACTTGGAACATCGATCCGCGTGATTTTCGCTCGATCTTTTCGAAAGGGGAAATCTTTCCTCGCGGAATGTTTCATTTCTTTAAGGATCAAGCGACCGATTCTATTAACTTAGAAAATAATTCTTCGCTGAACGGTGTTATTCTGAAGTTTGAAATGTCCCACGTGATCCCGGCAATTTTTCTTCACTGTTCATTGATTTTTTTTTTTTTTTCGATTCTTTCGAATCGGTGAATTGTTTGAGCTTCCACAGGATTTTCGAATTTTTTTCATTATACTTCGTGGATCACTAGGGACGATCTCAACAATTTCTTTTTATCTCACTTGTGTTATTTTATTCAATTGCGATTCATAACGTGTGTTATTTAAGCCTCGAGTGGATACTAGGGTCGTTGCAGATTCTTTTAAATTCGTATTTTAAACATCAAACAGCAAACGTTTGAAGCTGTAGTGACTCGTTTGCTTCACCTCGATCCTTTCATTCTTTTTTGCAATCTTCTTCCAGTTTTATTTTTAAATGACTAATCTTCCATTATAGTTCGTAACAAACAAACAAGCAACAAAAAAGTTCTTCGTATTTTAAA